AGTGTGTAAAATTGAAATAAATGCTACACTGGTGGTATGTATTTCATTTAGAATAATACTATCCATCTGCATTTTGGGGATGTAATTCATGTATTCTTGCGATAACTTGGGTTGTACATGCTTAGGTCATGGTTTATATTTTCCATTATGTCAAGTTTCTAAGGTTCCATTTGTCTGAAAGGTTTTGCAAGAAAATGCCAAATTGAAAAAGGGTGCTTTTTCCCAGTTTCCAACCTGGTAAGAAGATACAACATTTTTGGAGATTCCCACTCCCATTCTTTGGTGGCATTCCATGAATTTGGTAGAGCAGTTGCTGTTCAGCATTTTCTGTCAGAACATACCTAGATGATGATACCTGGTTACTGCTGTCGATTATATTTATTTAGTTGAAAATCACGCAATAAAAAGGTTGAAACAGCTGGATGATGATAAAACACTCTTAGCATTGGAAATGTTGTTCAGACAGAATCAAAAATGCAATTGCTCTATCAGTTCAATTCAATTCAATTCGAGTCCTTTCAATTCCCAGATCTTGTAAAATGACGCCTAGCCTCTCACAAGTACATTCATCCGAAGGCATGTTATCACATGGCTTTTCAAACTGGTTTCGAATCAATCAGTTTATTTATTCTTCCAGATACCCACACCCTTCATCAATTAATATATATATAAATAGGAAATATGTTGGCATTTTCCTCCTACAGACACTTTCTACATTTGTCAGTTTAAAAAATGAACATAGCAATGACCTCATCTCTATTTTTAGTTCTTGGTCTAAAGGCATTGTGTCGACACAGTAGCACCAGCCACTCACACAATTGTCATAAAATATTTCTGCCATACACCGAGTGTGTGCCCCTTCATGACGAGTGAACATGTACACCAGGAAGTAGGTCGATGTGTCCTACAATGACGTTGTGTAATAGAATCTGTTTGAATAGTCGAATTACCCATAGGCATAATATAGCTCTAACGCTGAATGGTGTGACCGTCTGCATAGGTATGTAAAATTCAAGCAGGGACTGACTGATATCTAAGAATTGTGAATGTTGCACATACATTCATAGCAGTTTTGCTTATATTTACTTTACAACTGAAACACCCTGCCATGATATTTTACCAGCTAGAGTCGTATATGGGATATATTCGTTTTGGGCATGACTATTACATCAAGAATATTTCAAACTCATCTGCGATACATACGTCCCTGAAATCCTCATACATTTTAGAGTCAAATGACAAATGGTCTTTTTTACAAGTACAAATTGTCCAGATGAAATCAAGCAAACCAACTTAGGTGTGGATGTAACTGCAACATGTACGTATTTCCTTTGTATAGTGTAATATTCAATAATGCAATTTCATTTTAAAACTGAATATGATACTTTAACAAATTGTTGATATTTGTTTTAAATAGATATGTCCACATGTTTTAGTAGTTATCGGTCGTTATATTGACAGCACATTGATCTCTTACAATTCACCAAACGAGTGTTTAGTTACAAATGATAGACGAATTACCGTTTTCGTTTTGCAGAAAATAATCACTTGTTTCATCCCTTTCTGAAATATTGTATTCGCGTCTTCAATTGTATAATTATGGGACAAAATGACGACAACAACCTCATGAACATGAACAAATATATGTCCCATATTAAAAAAATATATGTTTGTTTTGAAGTATTCTTTTAAGTATTTGATTTATGAAAACTGATGCCAAACAGGTGTGCGTCTTGTCCAATTAAGATACACGATCATACTCACTAATTTGTCATCTATTCAAGAAATTATTTACAAGGTAAAACCAAGCTTTTAATGTTGCGTCTGATAAGAGTCAAATTCGAGTTTTTTCATAGTTTCAGCAAACATAAGGTTAGATATATAATAATCACAATACCAATGTCGTCTTTCTCAGAGCCACAAAATAAAATATGACGTCCAGACACATTCAAGATAGTGTCACAGACACGCTTCCTAAAAGAGGATAATTTCACTGTTAGGGGATTCGTTGGCACTGCAGCTTGGCCGCTATAATCAAGAGTCCACTCAACCAGAACATTGTGTGTGGCCTTCCTATCACCATACCCTGATGGTTTGTCTGGTCCAGAATCATTCATCTGAAACTAAAAGTATCATAGAGAACACTACACAAGTCAGACCATTCATCTTACGACGAGTTGTTTTAAAACGTATCTGATGAGCGAAAAGTGAATTCTACCATAATTGAATGCAACACTGGAGCAAAAGAGGAGATGCAGGTCTATAACGTTTATCACAGTATGGTGTTGACAAACCAAAAGATATTACCATGCCGAGCTCATGATCATAGGTTTTAGCCCGCCTTAGGGATGCAACCCCTCTCAGAGAACTGCAGCAGCTTAGACGCCTGGGTCACCTGTGCCCTCTGCTGGTATGGACATATGCTTCGACTCTGTATAATCACACCTTGTACGCAAGATGTAGTAGTTTGTTTATTCATTGTTAAACGCCCCACTCGGCAATACTCCAGTTATGGTAGTAGTAGTAGTACTAGTAGTAGTAGTAGTAGTAGTAGTAGTAGTAGTAGTAGTAGTAGTTAAGAGATTTAAGTGACACTTCCTACAATAAAAGAACACATTTCAATTTGAAAGCAAACAATTTATTCATTAAATTCCAATAAACTGAGGTTATTAAAGAGTATTCTCATTTATTCGAAGTTGTAGGCTCTCAGAGGTATAACGCAGCTTCCACACTCGATGCGGACATCACTATTCTGGTAATTAACTGTAGGCTGTATAGTAACGCCTCATAATGTCCAGTGTGGATCCTGTCTGGCTAGATGCGGACATTACTACATTGTATTCTGGTAATCAACTGTAGGCAGTAACGCCTCATAATGTTCTGTGTGGATCATGTCCAGCTAGATGCGGACATCACTGTTCTGGTAATCAACTGTAGGCGGCAACGTCTCATAATGTTCTGTGTGGATCATGTCCAGCTTGGTGTAGTCTTGATCAGGCAGGACATCATACGTGGGGAGTTCTACAGGAGGGGCGGGGCTTGTCTCGGGTATGCTAGAATTCTGTCTTGGTGTCTCCTTGTTCATCCTGAATTGACCATTTACAATAAAATCAAAATCTCCTTCATTAACACTTCTACAGAATCATGTACACATCAGTAAGTGTTCTGTGCGTTTCGACAGCACGTGGCTACATTCGACATTTACCTTTCATTTGTGGAATCAGTATCCACTGGGATGCTTTTGTATTCCATCTACTAACGATCCCAAGATGGAATCTGAAAATTTGGGCCAAGAATCTTTCATCTTTAGCGCATAAGTTCTGGAATGAACTACCTCTTTAAATTACACTTGAAAGTATATTCAGCTACTGAATGCTTCACAGTTGCTCCGATCACTATAATTAATATTATTGCCCCTCACAATATCCTGCAACTGGAACTAAGCGCATTATAAGTACTTCTTCTTCATCATCATGTAACATATATAACTACCACCTGCCCACCTGTTAACGCACCTGAAGTCTCCCTTCCTCCACAGACAGACCACACCTTCAACCACGACCAAGACCACCAGCATAGTGAGAGACCCAATGATGCCAGCTACTGCTGGGGAAATACTCGTGACTGGAGACAAACTGCTCACACCTACTAAGTGAAATGATTCCTATGCTAAAGAAACTTCTACGCCGGCATAGATTCTTATAAATAACTTCAATGCACTGGTGGTCAACAGGTAAATTCTGAGTGTGCTGAAATGCTGATGTTGAATTGTGCTTAGGACGTGTGTCATCAATAAGACACATTTGCTCGTTTTGAGGGTTTACAGGTTTTTGAAAACAAATATATATCAACAATACACTTGGAACATTGATTTGTGAGATAAAAGACATTAATTTCACAATATCGCCAAGAATTTGAAGGCAGATTATAATGTTTCTCAAAAAAGGATTTTCTTGTCTTTTTTCAACCAAAGAACAGAACCAACTTCTATTTTGTCAAAACATTCGATTTTTTAGAGATGCCTTCAACTGTCCAATGGTCAAATTTCCCTTTATGTCGAGTATTATTCCAGCAGCTCCAGACTTTGGTGTTTACATTTCAAAAGTTTTCAGATACAATCGAGCATCCTCTTTTAACAAGATTTCAAAGAGCGTCAGAAGTTGTTACAACATTCAAGGCCTCAAGCTTTCAAAAAGTTTTATGGTAGACATGTGGAGGACAATTTCCAAAATTGACGCAAAAATTGACAAAAATTATATCTGATACAATTCGCTATTTGGACTTGTACTAATATTCCCGTGGTTTTTTTTAGGTGAACAATTGACTGTCCTTTACATGTGTTTGTGACAGGTGCCACCTTTTCGCGAACCCCTGGTATCATTACTATGTCATAGTGAGTCATAAACACATGCTTGTAATATTCGGAATCATACAATCGATTCTGCTTTATGCAGATATTTCTTTTGGATACAGAAAGGGATCTTTTTGCTTATTTACAAAGTATGAGAACTGACATAAGAGGTCAGACTTACCCATTTCCCTCGCTCGCTTGCGCGCACGTAAGCACACACACAATGTATATAGATATATATGTATTTAGTTTATGAATGCTTGTTGATTATTGATATTTGATTCAATTTTACTTGTGTTATTTCAAACTTGTTCTTTAACATTACGTGAACATAGATTAAAATTGGCGCTTCGGTTAGACCATCAACACATCTGCAAATCGAGTGAGTAAGTGAGTATTGTTTTACACCGCTTTTAGCAATATTCCAGCAATATCACGTCGGGGGACACCAGAAATGGGCACATTGTACCCATGTCGGGATTCGAACCCGGGTCTTCGGCGTGACGAGCGAACGCTTTAACCACTAGGCTACCCGACCGCCCCTCTGCAAATCGATAGATTCTCATATGAAATGCATGTAGTATCACATATACCGTTTATCACATACTTCGTGCGCAGTGTCCACCTTTAACATCTTGACATTACATACCACTCTGAGTACAATCCTCTCCTGTCCACCCTGACTGGCACCCATCAATACACAAGCCTGTGTCCCGGGGACAGGTGCCCGACCCTCCCTCACACATCCGGGCACTGCAGTTGCCTGTACATCCGGCACCATACTCCACATCTTGGACACAGCCTATTGGTATATTTAATCAACAGATATAAATAACAAGTCAAACGTACCACGTGCACAGAAAAGGGCAAAAAATGAGTTGAATTATATTTGTTTTTTAAGAATAACTTGATTCGAGGGGTAAGATGTGAGATGCGATGCGATGCGAAATATGGATTATCAATTGATGTGCCATGAGATTTAATCCGATCATATTGTTTCCAAACAGAATATTTCCACATCTCTAACCTGTTGTGCAATCGACATATTTCCATCCGGGACTGCAGCCTCCTTTACACCATCCAGTCACGTGATCACATACAGATTGTGGCGTGTCTCTACAATGTCTGGCTGAGCAGCTTCTTGCGCAGTTCTCTCCATACGTATCGACGCATTCTTCATAGAAATATACATTGTTTATTGTGTCTGAATTTCAAATATATGTTGTTGTTTTTCAAATTGTTAAAACTATTTTACAGAATACATCTGTTCAAAATGCTGGTCTACATACTAGATGTATCCTTACCCTGTGTGCAGTCCGGTGTTTGGTAGCCTGCCAGACATCCTCCTAAACATTTACCAGTTGCATGGTTACAGCTGGAGGTGTTGTCCTTACACATTCTGTCTGTGCATCGCTTGGAGCAGCGTCGTCCATAGTCTCCCGTGGGACATGCTGAAACAGGACATAAAGAGGCTATGGTAATTTCCATGAAACAAATAAATTGTGTAAAATACGTTTATAAAAGGTACAATTACACCATGTTGAACATTACGACATAAGAATTCATCCAAATCCTTTTGTGAATGTAAGCTAATGTCCAAAAGAAAATATACCAAGAGTTTGAAGACTATGAAAGAAAAAAAAAAGCATGTTGAAAATCAATAAGTAAATATTTCATAAGAGTTGTGTTTTAGTATATTGGTTGGTTTGTTGTTTAACGCCGCACTCAACAATATTCCAGCTATATGACAGCGGTCTGTAAATAATCGAGTCTGGACCAGACAATCCAGTGATTAATATCCCGAGCATCGATCTACCAAATTGGGATCAATGACATGCATCAACCAAGTCAGCGAGCCTGACCACCCGATCCCGTTAGTCGCCTATTACGACAAGCATAGTCACGTTTTACAGCAAGCATGGGTTGCTGAAGACCTATTCTACCTCGGAATCTTCCAGGGTCTTTAGTATATTGGGTACAACTGCTCATGTTATGCAAACATAATCTTTACGACGGACTGGGACACAAAGACACACGGGGATAAAAATCACTGTCACGACATACCAAATAGGCCCACCATGTGCAATAATGCACGTCTGAACACGACAATGCACCGATGACGTCAAACATCGAATAACGTTGGAGGTAAGTGCTGCAATTCTTCAACAAGACTTTGTTCCAATTCTTGACGGCTGGCTGGAGTCGCGGGTGTTCTTCTGATCTGTCGGTGATCCCATAAATGTTCGATGAGGTTCATATTAGGAGAAAATGCTGGCAAGGGTAAAACGTGAATGTTCGCGAAAGTTCTGTGTGAGCCTTGGCGTATGCGGTCACTGATTGTCTTGCTGGAAGACAATACCACGTGATTGTTGCTGAATGTATGGTTTCACAACAGATGTCCAAACTTCATCCCCATATCTCTGGGCATTCAGGTTACACTGATGATAACGAGCCTCGTTTTGACATCACCTCAGATACCTCCCTAGACCATGATGCTACCGCCTCTAAATGGTTGAACTTGTTGAACACATTCTAGCGCCTTCACCTACTCGTCTGAAATCATTTCTGTACAAGCAACATCTACTCTCAATGAAGAATATGACGTCCCCAGTCTAGCACTTGACAAAATCGAACTTGCCATGACAACCTGTTACGTCGGTGTTGACCTGTTAACCTCGGTAAGGTCAACTTGCTCTGATACCACATTCTCTCCATCTCCTCTATACTGTCTGTAGACGGACCCCAGTGCCATCGATGCAGTAACCCCAGCTGTGATGAAGCGGTTTGGGAAATGAATGGTCCGGATGTGGCGGTCTTTCACTTCCACGTCTGTCTGATGTCTGCCCAGTCTGTTGTAAACGTTGCATCAAACTGGTCATGCAAAAGGTTCTTGCGTGGCCTTTATTGCACCATAACAACGGCTCTTTATCTCTGTATAGCTGTTAAATGTGGCATTCTTTCTTGGTGCTTTAGGTTGATGTTTTCATAAAAAATACTTTTACACGTGCATTTCGTTTTACCTAGTCCAAAGTCGTTGTGGCAAAATTGTATATTTGTCTTCCTTTTGTTAACGAGTACATTTGTTTGTATTAGTGACACATATTTAAGTCTTAATTCATATATGAATTATTAACTTATCAAAATAGTGGGAAATAGTTCAGTTGGTAGACCTTCTTTTTGGAGATTAGTTTAGTTTGATTGTTTGTATTTCTATTCTTCTGAATGGTGATTATTCACGCTTTAGTTATGGGTAGTTGCTATTGTTTTTAACTCACTGGTGTTGCAACTGTTGCCAAGCCAGCCTGACATACACATTCCACTTGGACAGATGCCGCTCACATAGTTGCACACATCACCGTCACAGTGGCAGTAGTTGTTACAGTCAGCGCCGAAGGTACCGGGACCACACACTGTCAAATGGATGTTTGGCTCTTACATCACACAACATAGAGGTTTACATGTTTTATATGGGTTTCTATAACCATTTGTAAGAATGAATCTGTTTGCAAAAGTAATCACATGAAAAGGTCGTGAAGCAGAATTACTACACAACATCAGTATTCTGTATAAATATTTATATGATTCTTGGCCTAAGAAAACGCTGCTACTCAAGAGATCACAAACATTCGTTTTTAACTGATTGTTAACGAAAGCGAAGGCATGACGCTTATGTATAGATAATTATAAATGAAGAGGACAAACTTCGCGCACAGATGATGTTACCTTAACACAATTTGACTGAGACTTTTATATAAACATGTGGCACTGATGAAGCCATGCAGCATAGATCATGGTTCACCCTGACTTTTTCGAAAACATGTATTAAAGGGACAAATTATAAAACGAGGAATTTGCAAAGTTCATTTACAACACTTTATATTTCTTGTTGAGTTAATTTATGCGTGGTTATGATGTTTGCTTGCCTTAAGTCGCTGCTTTTCATTACTGTAAAATCATTGCCTCCGAGCTTAGAGCACTATTACAAAATATGACACAGTAGTGTTAGCTTACCGTCTACTTCTACCTCACAAAAGTCAAGTACAGGCAGACTGTCCCCATCATTGTTCACTGTTGTGTAAAGCAAGATGTAGCGCCCCATGCCAGAGCAAGGTGCCCGTGTGACGTTAGCAATATCACTTCCATCGCTTCCTCCTGTCACGTTGTAGCAGTTGTCACCACTGGGTGCATCAGTCGAGTTGGTCACGTACACCGGGATGCCATTTCTCCTTGGTCTATCTGGAATAAGTGCTTTAATAAAGTCACAGGAAGGGAATCGCATACATATAGCCACATGAACGTATTCAACACTGTCTTGAAGAAAGAGACGCACGTTGTATAAACGTTAAACAGCCAACAATAGGTTCTCACAAACTAACAATTAACCCAGCATTATCCATTGCAGTTGACAATAAACTCACGATCAAGTCTGAAGTAGATGGTGACCTCACGTATCAGCACTGTGTCATTGAGATCCACACGCCACCAGTTGGGGTTGCTGGGCTTTATCTCCATACAGACATGATACGTGTGTGCAGCAGTTCTTCCGTCTGTAGCTATGGATGACAGCCAGGGACCCTCTCCACTGGATGATGTAACTTTCTTCCTCGCAACATTATCTAGAAAATGCATCAACGAGATATTTCTTTCAAAGTATTCGATTTGTTTGTGTTCGATCTTCAGTCAGCGGTGTTTTTCAGAATCTGGTCTCTTACATTGCCTTACATTTAGACTTCTGCCCATTAACTAGACTTACATACATCACACATATTTCACATTCTTAACAATACAATACCAGACTTATTATGGGGGGATTTCACATTCCAGGGGTTTGATTTCTTTTGTTAGAAACAGGCTTTTTCTGTTTCTATGAAAAAAAATATATTTGTTTTACATCAATCATTTTCAGCAACGTTTCGAGTTAGAAACATAGCGTCAAGGTATGAAACGAGACAAAAACAACAATTTGACAAAATGTCAGATTGCCTAAATGTTGTTCTTTCTTAGAATATTGAAAACATGCAGTAAAGAGCACGCTACGTCGAGCTATCGTCTACTTCACAAATTTGAACAGAGCATCAATGTACTCAGGGTTCGAAGACACAACAACGCGCATACATTTGAATGCTAACTCTGTGGGTTAAAGGACCGTTGTTTGTCTGGTTGAGGTATTAGGTACGGACATCGCACACATACGATTGTTTGGTATGTCCTGTATTTATTAACCTAAGCTTCCTTTTGTTACAAGGGACATCATCGATTTGAGTGAGGGAATTAGTTTAGTTTAAAATTGCAATGAACAGAACAAGAATATAACACTTTGACCCCATTGGCATTCTCAACTCCCTGATGAGTATACATGACAACCTCCTGATCATAACTCTGAAAATAATCAAAGATCACATCTTCTTTACAAGACATACATATATTGAATATAACATTCTTATAAATTGTCAACATTGGCGTGTCAGTTTGATGTTGGAGGAAAACCCGAAGTGATGCGGATAAACAAAGAAACATAATCAGGGCGAATCTGGGATTCCAACTCACGATCTCAGGTTTCTGGTCCAGCGATTTGCTGACCCTAGGACGACTGGGCCACTGGGGGGCTGTTTGGGACCGGGATTATAGGTAACAGAGATCCAAAAAGTTTGTTCCTTGCTTTGTGAAAACGACACCGACAAAAATTATGTCTGAAATAGTTTCTAAATAAACGATCAAAGATATGTGTTCATTTTGAGGAAAGCAACCTATACTGCAATTGAATCAAGGCCATTAAATTTTTTGGAATTGAAAAAGAGGAGTACCATTTCTGTGTATGCATAGTTTAACTAACTTACTACATATACGCGTCACCAATATTGGAACAGGGCGACAGCGCAACATAATATATATGTCGCATGGGTGTGGTTGTGTTGTACATTTTATAGCGTTGCCACCTGAAATATATGTCGCCTTTTCGCATGGTTACCATTTGGTAAGCATAAAAAATATAACAGAAAAGGCAACAATGTCACATCGCGAGAATGCGCCAATTCATGAAACGTTTTTTTATGCATTTGAGGCGACATTGCGACGATACATTCTGTGACCTCAAATATTAATGTCACTTTGTTACATTGCCCCTCTTTTGTAAAAACCAAACATATAATTTTGTCATGTTCTTCTTGCTTTTATAAGATTGACAAGAGACATTCTCACCACCATTTTGTAGCAGGCCGCACGTCTGTATCTGTGTTACTATGGTTTTCAGTATTTCTTCTGACATTGATGAATGAAAGAGGCGTTAATCCATGTACATACTTTAACCAAACATAGTTAGATCCGATAGTTCAGAATGATCAGTGGTGTTATTGGGCAGTGTATTGTATTGTTAAACAATGAGTGTAGCTGAGTAACATTGTTTCTGTTGAGATCGGTTAAAGCTCATTGCATTTTACTTTGAACAATGATTTGTTGTCAGGAATGTAGTACTATTTAATGTAAGCAGTTTTGAGGAAGTTACTCTATTTAGATACTAGTGTGAACGTTATATAGAGAAAGAGCATTATAGAAACAGGTGGCATATTCTATTGTTTGAGGTCTCCATTATTTTTTGGGAAAGGAAAGTTGATTATGTTCTCTGACGCTGTTGCAAAAATTGGCCTCTGCTCAATTATTTTAAGGAATGGAGAGGTACTCGGACATTCCCCTCTACTGAATATGGGGCGGTGGGGTAGCTCAGTGGTTTAAGCATGGGTACACTATATGAAGCCGATTTCTCGTGTCCCCCGCCGTGATATTGAAGGAATATTGCCCAAAGCAGCGTAAAACTTACTCACTCACGCACTCTACGGAATGTGGTATTATTTAATGTAGGCAGTTTTGAGGAAGTTATAACTTTATTTAGACGCTAATGTGATGTGTAAAACTTCCGGTATACCAAGGACTTAGATAGAGTGTTACATGTAAAGAATTCTGTGGTGGCACTGTGTAGAAATTGCCAGAAGCTGGTATGACTGTCTTCCGTATCTCTCACACATTTCATTACATCAAGACCAGTTTTCTTGTGAACATCATTCATCACCCCGGATTCCCAGCCGAGGCTCAGTTCGGAAGATTGACCACTGTCTCCCCTTGGTGAATATACTATTATCACTTTTGCTTTCACCGCGGTATTTTTGTATTTAATACTGACCACTGCCATCATATCATATACTGCCATTCAGTATTGTACTACTACTATTGTGTACTGTCATTGTAATTGATGTGCAGTAATGTGTATTGATTTGTAAACCTAGTGAATTTTGTTATACATTTGTTGATTGTATACCACTTGTTGGTTGTTGGTTGGTTTCACACTAAAGATCTTTACGTACAGATTCCTGTGTTAACATTGTTTCAAGTTGGGAATCAACACGTAACAATGTGTGTCAATATCGAGTGATTGCAAGGGCACACATGGCTTCTGGTTAAAAAAGCAACGTTTCACTGTTATCCATATTCGTATCTCGGCTACAACAAAATATCTGTCCAATCAAAATGGAAGCACCGAGGCTCATGGGACACCGAAAAGGTTGCATTAATGACACAAGGGTTACCTTTTGAATTCATTCTGTGACTGCCAAATTAAGAGAAGGGGTGATTGTTGATGTATGTGACCTGTTAGCAATATGACTGATCAATAAGTGTTGGGTTATGACATCTGAATCAGTTGTTGAAAGCCGAAAAATATATTAGTAATTTGACACTCGTGTGCATGAGCAAGGCTTACAATCTCAGTACGATGTTAGAAGTTGTGCTGTTGTAGTTACATACGTTTCTGACATGTCGCACCAGACCATCCTGTGTGACAGGCTGGCGGACTGCAGCCGGAAGTAGAATCACACTTGTCTTGGTCACAGTTACATCTGCAGCCGCACTGGTAGCCGTATGTACCGTTAGGGCAGCTGCCTGTAACAGAAGTATTATAACACAGATAGACAGTGACACTTGTAGCCATATGTACCATCAGGACAGCTGCCTGTAACAGAAGTATTATAACACAGATAGACGGTGACACTGGTAGCCGTATGTACCGTCAGGACAGCTGCCTGTAACAGAAGTATTATATCAGAGATAGACAGTGACACTAGTAGCTGTATGTACCATCAGGACAGCTGCCTGTAACAGATGTATTTTATCAGAGACAGATAGTGACACTGATAGCTGCATGTTCCATCAGGACAGCTGCCTGTAACATATGTATTTTATCAGAGACAGTCAGTGACACTGATAGCTGCATGTACCATCAGGACAGCTGTCTGTAACAGAAGTATTTTATCAGAGATAGACATTGACACTGGTGGCCGTATGCACTATCAGGAAATCTACCTGTAACAGAAGTATTATATCAGAGAGACAGTGACACTGGTAGCTGCATGTACCATTAGGACAGCTGCCTGTAACAGACGTATTATATCAGGGATAGACAGTGACACTGGTAGCCGTATGTACCATTAGGACAGCTGCCTGTAACAGACGTATTATACTAGCGATAGATAGTGGCACTGGTTGCCGTATGTACCGTTAGGACAGCTACCTGTAACAGAAGTATTATATCAGAGACAGACAGTGACACTGTTAGCTGTATGTACCATCAGGACAGCTGCCTGTAACAGAAGTGTTATATCAGAGATAGACAGGGACACTGGTAGCTGTATCTACCATCAGGACAGCTGTCTGTAACAGAAGTATTATATCAGAGACAGACAGTGACACTGATAGCTGTATGTACCATCAGGACAGCTGCCTGTAACAGAAGTGTTATATCAGAGATAGACAGGGACACTGGTAGCTGTATCTACCATCAGGACAGCTGTCTGTAACAGAAGTATTATATCAGAGACAGACAGTGACACTGGTAGCTGTATGTACCATCAGGACAGCTGTCTGTAACTGAAGTATTATATCAGAGATAGACAGTGACACTGGTAGCTGTATGTACCATCAGGACAGCTGTCTGTAACTGAAGTATTGTATCAGAGATAGACAGTGACACTGGTAGCCATATGTACCACCAGGACAGCTGTCTGTAACAGAGGTATTATATCAGAGACAGACAGTGACACTGGTAGCTGTATGTACCATCAGGACATCTGTCTGTAACAGACGTATTGTATCAGAGATAGGCAGTGACACTGGTAGCCGTATGTACCATCAGGACAGCTGTCTGTAACAGAAGTATTATATTAGAGACAGACAGTGAGACTGGTAGCCGTATGTACCATCAGGACAGCTGTCTGTAACAGAAGTATTGTATCAGAGATAGACAGTGACACTGGTAGCCGTATGTACCATCAGGACAGCTGTCTGTAACAGAAGTATTATATCAGAGATAGACAGTGACACTGGTAGCTGTATGTACCATCAGGACAGCTGTCTGTAACTGAAGTATTGTATCAGAGACAGATAGTGACACTGGTAGCCATATGTACCACCAGGACAGCTGTCTGTAATAGATGTTCTTTATCAGAGATAGACAGTGACACTGGTAGTCGTATGTACCATCAGGACAGCAACCTGTAACAGAAGTATTACATCAGAGATAGACAGTGACACTGGTAGCTGTATGTATCATCAGGACAGCTGTCTGTGAAAGACGTATTATATCAGAGAGAGAGTGACACTGGTAGCCGTATGTACCATCAGGACAGCTGCCTGTAACAGATGTATTTTATCAGAGATAGACAGTGACCCTGGTAGCCGTATGTACCATCAGGACAGCTGTCTGTAACAGAAGTATTGTATCAGAGATAGACAGTGACACTGGTAGCCGTATGTACCATCAGGACAGCTGTCTGTAACAGAAGTATTATATCAGAGATAGACAGTGACACTGGTAGCCGTATGTACCACCAGGACAGCTGCTTGTAACAGAAGTATTATATCAGAGATAGACAGTGACACTGGTAGCTGCAAGTACCATCAGGACAGCAGCCTGTAACAGAAGTAATATATCAGAGATAGACAGTGACACTGATTGCTGCATGTACCATCAGGACAGCTGCCTGTATCAGAAGTATTATATCAGAGATAATTAGCGACACCAGTAGCTGTATGTACCATCAGGACAGCTGCCTGTAACAGAGGTATAATATAAGAGATAGACAATGACACCGGTAGCTGTATGTACCATCAGGACAGCTGCCTGTACCGTTAAGACAGCTGCCTGTTACAGAAGTATTATATCAGAGATAGACAGCGACACTAGTTACCGTATGTACCATCAGGACAACAACCTGTGACAGACGTATTATGTAAGAGATAGACAGTGACACTGGTAGTTGTATGTACCATCAGGACAGCTTTCTGTAACATAAGTGTTATATCAGAGATAGACAGTGACACTGGTAGTTGTATGTACCATCAGGACAGCTGCCTGTAACAGAAGTATTATGTAAGAGATAGACAGTGACACTGGTAGTTGTATGTACCATCACGACAGCTGCCTGTCACATAAGTATTATATCAGAGAGAGACAGAGGCACTGGTAGCTGTATGTACCATCAGGACAGCTGCCTGTAACAGAAGTATTATATCAGAGATAGACAGTGACACCGGCAGCCATATGTACCGTTAGGGCAGCTGCCTGTAACAGAAGTATTTTATCAGAGATAGACAGAGACACTGCTAGCTGTATGTACCATCAGGACAGTTCCTGTTAAAGAGTGTATAAGTATTAACAACCTTTGGCTTGACTCTAAAAACATGCATACATGTCAATTCCTCTGTTGATTCCAAAGCTCTATAAACATCCGTACGGAGAGACACATATCGTAGAGACCAGCAAATGTACCACCGAATCCGTCTCGGAGATCAAACATAATCTTGAATACAATCAAGAAAGGATTTTCTTCATATTCACCGAAGGTATTTGAGACAAGTCGATATAGGTTTAATGCTGGTGGATTCACACAACAACAAAAACAATTAAAAAGCATTGTGTTATTGAGATTCTATATGTTAACAACAGGTGCGCTCCCTGACGAGCGACACACGCAATGTAACATCACTGTGTTGTCACCTAGTCCCGAGCTATACAAACCAGCAAAATGGATGTTATATGTATATGTACATTTGTCTGCCCGTGTGTTGATCAGTCAATGAGGCTCAATGTTTTCATGTTTAAATAAAATATATTTACAAAGTTATAAATACATAACCTACAGTTAGAGCAAATTTACACAATGGACAACTAATATTTCAGTGTTGTTAAACAGAATCAGAATCGTCTCAAGAAATAACCTGTACATGTAAATTGATGTGAAGCTTGCTTTACATAAAAAAAGGGAAGAAAGGGATAGATTTAACATACATATCTATTTCCAGTACCTTCCTGAATTAATCAGATTTAATGAGGCGGTATTATTTATGGGCATTTTATGGAAGCAAATCATCCTAAGATATATACTGGAACTATTCCATCACTTTCCATATGTTGTGAAATGTTCAGTGTGGAATTGTCTGACTTTTGGCAAGTCTATATGGGTCATACCCAAGACGAACATACGACTCCAACTGAAAACATATCAAGGCGGGGTGTTGGGGAGAAGGTGACCCAACATTCCATGTCCACATACACTGCTGCTTTGAGAGATCGGATCACCATGTAGGAGAACGTAGTGTAAGAAGTATCACAGGCAAAGATATCATGTTCGTTTATAAATAGTTTTATGCCTCCAATGTGGATTACAAAACAATCAGGTTAAACATTTTGCATACATAACACTGTTATCTTCGATTTCAGGTGTTTGACATTGAAACAAATATTCCTTAAAAGAAAACAAACTGGATTTTTTATTGAGATAATCAGGGGTTTTTTTGTGCGTAAAATTGAAATAAGTGCTACACTGATGGTAGTTCATATAGAATGATACTGTTCATCTGCATTTGGGGGATGTTATTCATATATTCTTGTGATAACTGGGGTTGTACGTGCTTAGGTCAGGGGTAATATTTTCCATTATGTCAAGTTTCTAAAGGTTCCATTTATCTGAAAAGTTTTTCAAGAAACCTGGAAGAATGGCAAATGGAAAAAGATGTTCTTTCCAAGTTTCCGACCTTCAAAAATAATAACATTTTAGGAGATTCCCACTCCCATTCTTTGGTGACATTCCATGAATTTGGTAGAGCAGTTGCTGTTCAGGATTTTCTGTCAGAACATACCTAGATGATGATACCTGGTTATTGCTGTCGATTATATTTCTTTAGTTGCTGTATTTGTTGAAAATCACGCAATAAAAAGGTTGATACCCCAAATGAAACAGCACAAGATACTGATAAAACATGCTTAGCTTTGTCGTTCAGACAGAATAAAAAATGTGATTGCTCGATCAATTCAATTCAATTCAATTCGAGTCCATTCCATGCCTTTTTATACTTGTGAAATAACGCCTAGCCTTTCACAAGTACATTCATCCGAATGAATTAAGTCATGTTATCACACGGCTTATCAAACTGGTTTCTTACCGGTTTATTTATTTTTTCCGGATACCCACACCCTTTGTCAATTAATATATAATTGGAAATATGTTGGCATTTTCCTCCCTCAGACACTTTCTACCTTTTTTTTGAATAAATCCTCAAAGCTGTTTGTGGAACATTTGTCAGTTTAAAAAATGAACATAGCAATGACCTTATGTCTATTTTAAGTTCTAGGTCTAAAAGCGTTGTGTCGACACAATAGCACTGAGGCGGTGCTTGGAGGTATTTAAAGTCTACTACACGTGTGGCAACGGATTCCTAATAACATCGATGAGACAGTGAGCCTGGGCGTGCATTGATGATCGTGATGCCTGCATTTGATGTGCAATGCAATATGTTAGCAAGAAGTGCTTGTACACAGTACACAAAACTCTCAACAAACCTGCATTGTGGACTCTTTAGTTATGTCTCCCTCAATCTCATTAAAA